GAATTAACTGAATTAATTAATTCGCAGAAAGACGAGGTTAAGAAGTAGTTGCTTATGCTATTCCTTACTGTATGAGTGCTCCCAATCCACAGCGCAAAGTCAGCTGGGTTAGACTGAATCACTGGTAAAAGCAGTTTAAACTAACCTTGCTGACTTTACAGTGAAATAGGGTTTAAGGACATTAATAAACAGGAGAATAATAATAGCAGAAATACGAGCAGCTGGAGCAGTGACAAAAGCAATGATGGCATCACAGCTGAGGTCAATAATGAAAACCCCTGGCCAGTAACTTCTCAAACCAGTAGAGCTGTTTCCAAAGAGCCATCTGTCTGGGCCCCAAGGCTATTTTATGATGGATACTCCTAAATTAACTCAGCAGAGCTCAGTTAAGGAATTGCAGAGACAGTGTGATAACACTGAAAGCTGATGTGATATAAGCAATGCAAATACTCATTCAAGAAAAAAATTGAAAAGGGGCACTTTTACAACTTACTTGGAAGTGGTGAAACAGCTGTGTGTCCTAGAGTCCTAAATAATGGATATGATGACAGGAAATCTCTACTAGAGTGATTAAAGGGAAATCTGTTTTTCCTTTTGAAACAATTGGCAAAGGCAGCAAAGGAAATGTTACCCCTACACTACCCTCCAAAACAACATAAATATGGTTTATGGAAAGATTACATTTTTTCAGAGACAGGAGTTTTTGGAACCAATTCAACTGCCAAATCACACAGTTCCCTCCACCCTTACCCCTTCTTTCCTTAGCTGCAACACTTTGATAATGGTTTAATCTTGTCCTCTTGTTACTCTTCCTGGTATCATGGACAATGGAACACGCGAAGCAACATGCCTTGATGAGATGATGTAAATGCTAACAAATTGAAAACAGAGTCCCAAACCCAAACATTAAACTGCAATCATTTCGCACGAATTAGCAAGCCTGCTAGGTCAGCTTCTATCATCACCCTGGGGAATGCAGTTTTTCAACAGTTAACACTGACATTTAATTAAACATGTAGTACAAAGAGAAGAATGTGGCTTTTATTTCTTAAATTCATAATGAGATTAATTTTATCACAGCAGATTTGAATCCATTGTTTTCAGATTTTCAAAACCAGATATATTTATGTCTTCTTAAAAAAATATAAAATTAAATAAACTTTTAATAAACCATTGTAAATAGGCTATGAAATCCCACAAAGACTTGAAGAAAACCTTGGGGGCTCTGCCCAAGTTTTCTTTACATATCAGTCAGGCCTGCTGGAAGATAACATGTCTCATGGATTTTATTTTTGATCATTTTTTGCAAACTGTTACCGGTTACTACTTTGTTTTCTAGCTCTAAGCTACTACAGCCAAGAATGCTGGAGTAGCTTCACTTACTGCATACGAACACTCCGGATATATACAAACACATAAATGCAGTTGCTCCCTGTTGTGATGTATGATTTTGCTCCTCAGAATGAATTCTTTTCAGCTATAAAATATCCCTAAGGCAATTTCATGGGTTCATAAATAAAACCTGACCTTTTGTGAATTAAGACTTCAATATAAATATGAATAAACGTTTGGAAAAATCTATGCAGCCCCTGAAACAAACCGCTATCACAAAAAAAAGATTGTGACAGTCTTCCAGCTCATTTGTGCTAGAACGTGCACTGCCCTGAAGAAAATTCTTTTTTTCTGAACATTTCATAATTACGTGAAGCAGTGTTCCAAAGGTCCTGCACACAGCACAGCTCTAACACCTTGCAATACATAATACTGCATTAACAAGGCAACTAAGGAGGCCATGATACATAAAGGAAGGTTTTGACAACAATGCCTTTCAAAAAATTATTCTTTTGTGACAGCTTTGATATCAGCAGATACCTAACTGTATGATTTAAAAAATGCTACCCGGAGAATTCTGCACGGTGAATTCACACTTAAGCCTTCCCAGCTGAAATACCACCTGCAGCAACAGCTCTCATTGCGGTCCTGCTGTTGGCGTAGAGACGCAGATCTGCTTTTGAGGCTGTCATCCATTACTGACTTTCTTAATGATGAGCCTGTTTCTCAATATATCTAAGTATCTACTCAAAGACATCTATTGCTATTTGTAGTGCTATCAGCACTGGTATCAATGCAGACTGCTTATGACAAGAAGTAACACTGGGAGGAACGTTTGAAGA